CGTAAGTATTTAATAATCGTAAACATGTTTAATTCTCCCTTTTCACGCCCTGATCGTGATCCTCAGTGTTTTATGGTCAAACAAAGGCTAACTTTTTGCAGACACTGGAGCACAGAGAAGTGTCTGTTTGTAGCTGAAAAATGAATTCTCTCTGGTTTAACAAGACAGTCCAGATGTTTCTCTCATTTTATGTGATACCAGTACTTAATCAGAAGACATAAGACAGAAATTGTGGTGCAAGAAAAAACATATGTATGACAGTCTTACACAAGAAATTCTTGCATGCAGCTCACAGCTGTCGGCCAACTTCCTGTAAAAATCACCCAAACCTAACCCTGCTACATAACATAATCTGGCTGTGGACTGATTTTCAAAATGTCCCACGGTGGAAAAGATTGAAAAACAGAGAGAATGGTATTTGTCGCATGTTCACCTAAACTACAAGTTATATATATATATATTTATAAGAGCAATGAGTCACCAAAAACCAAAACAATCGTTGTGAAACAGTCACACTGGAATTAATCAGAAGGCTTTTAAACATACTGATTAATAAAGATGAAATGGCTTTAATGGCTAAGCTGTTATTTGATGGATTGCCATGAAGGTTTTTTCTGACATTAATTTTCTCCTGATGATCAGTTTCAAGTCATTTGGAAATCCTATCTGCATACCATCAGTGTTTAGCCCAACCCAGCTGTTGGGCAAGAGGAGCTTTGGAGCACCCTTAACCTTTCATCTAGCAACATCATCAAGACATTTTGATTTTATTATTTAAGAACAGATACCTGGAAAACTACCTGACCGACCATCAGCCTTAGCTCCACTGTGTTAGTGCTAGTTAGCAAATGCTACCATGCTAACATGCTAAACTCTTACAGGGCTAGATAAAGTATGCAAGCCAGAACATTAAGTTCATTTCTTGTAGTATAAGTGATGCTGCAGTTTTTGACCTCTTCATCTAGTTTTTTGTCCACTTTATATATATGATGTCAACACGCTGAAGCTCCACGCTGACCGCATGTTTGAGATGGTTTCAAAGAGATAGGTTCATGGTGATCTTCAATACCTGCCTCCTAACGCTCTCCTCTCCTTTTCATAATAGCTATCTGCATCCTGCCGTGCCTGAATGGAGGGCGCTGCGTGGCCCCTTACCAGTGCGAGTGTCCCACCGGGTGGTCGGGCACGCGCTGCCACACCGGTGAGTTCATGTGTCAGTGAAGCGTTCAGTGCTTACGATGTACGCAAGTAAATCTCAGCAGGGTTCCCATTACAGCAGGATCATCATCATCCTAGCAACACTTAGCCCAGAGGATTTCTGCCTCCTGTAGTTGTCTATTTATTGTTAATAAGTAACCTGCTTATATATAAGCTATTATTAATTTGGTGATCTGTCTGCTGTAAGTATTTGTGGTGGAAAATTTTATACCTGGTAACAAACTAGCATAATTATGGGCTGTGTGTTTGTTTTGTTACTGCTTTGCACACTTATAGGCCATTCTCCTATAATCTCACTGGAAAACCTCCAGGGTGACATTTATTGTCACGTGCTAGCTCAGTTTAGTGTCATATATACGGTCGTCCTTAACGTGCATATCTGCAGTCGTAGCAACTCAGAATGAAGGGAACACCATCAGACACCAAAATTTAGCAAGAGCCGTACAAGGAAACTAAAGAAGCATTGCCATGATTACGAAGGCTTTATAACAAACGTCCTACAGTTGGATATACGTCAGTTTATGACCTCCACCAAGGAAGTTGTGGTTTTCGTAGTGCTTGCGTGAGTGAGTCTGTGTGTAAACGCGGTAGCTCAAAAAGTTTGAGTGAATTCTGATAAAACGTAGTGGTGTAGAGTGGGGTCATGTTAGTAATCCATTAAAATCGGGCTGACATCCATCGAGCTCTTCAACATCAACTTATTGATTTATTGGCCAAAAAATCACAAAAAGCCTCAAAACTTAGGAACTTGTTGTATTGCCAACATATATAAAGTGGCTTGTAAAGATTTAAACATATTATACCCCATTTGACCTCTGACCTTTCCTTCAACGTCAACTGATTGATCTGAAGGTCAAAGTGACAATAATGCTATATAATAAATATCACATTACTTTATTGTGACTGTGTTACGTACATCATACATACATGTACAATGTTCCTGAGTAACACAAGCTTGAACACTGAAACGAGTCCTGCACATGCACTGTTAGACAAACATCTTTATCTTTCAATTTTATTTCTTTATTGCTCAGAGTGAGCTGTCACAGCAGTGTTAATGTTTATAGTGCGAGCTGACTTCATGGTTATAAAAGATACATTTCCTCCAACAATTATCTGTTGGGTTTCCTCATCAGACACCGTACTGACGATTTCTGTCTCTTGTCTTTCTGCGTGACCACAGCTGTGTGTACGTCAGCTTGCCAGAACGGAGGCAGATGCATCAGGCCGAACAGGTGTAGCTGCCCTTCAGGTTGGATCGGACACAACTGCTCCAGGTGGTTAGACACACACACCCACACACTCGTGACATATTAGACATTATCAAACTTCCAGACAGGATAAAAGACCAAAAAAAGAGAAAATATCCGGTGAGCAGCAGTTCTCTGAGTGAAAATGCCTTGTTGATGTCTGGGTACAAAGTCCAGACTGCTTTGAGGTGATAGGAAGCAACAGTCGTTCAAATAACCACTCATTACAACCAAAGTACACAGAGGAGCATCTCTGATAGCACAGCACGTCGAAGGTTGAAGCAGACGGGCTACAGCAGCACTTCAGGCTATTTTCTTGGCACACTTTGAGCCGCTGAGTACCAGCTGCTTTAAACACAGCCTGGCTGAGTATTGTTGCTGACCATGTCCACCTGTGTATGACCACAGTGTACCCATCCTCTGATGGATGTTTGCAGCAGGATAACGCACCACATCACAAAGCTCAGATCATCTCAAACTGCTTTCTTGAAAACAACGAGTTCACTGTAGTCAAATCACCTTTACCGTCTCCAGTCCAGTGAATGGATGAGCAGCTGACAAATCTTCAGCAACTGTGTGATGCTCTCATGTCAATATGGACCAAAATTTCTGAGGAATATTTCCAGCACCATGCTCATTTTGCACTCTAATAAGTGTGTTTCCTGTGCTAAAGGTTTACAGTCGTGCTAGAAGCTCTGCACAGATGATAGGAATGGCTTTGTCGCCATCAAGCAGTAGAACTGACCTGATTTCAGCCTGACGGTGGTGCTAGAGCAAAAGTCTGAGGACCACTAAGATATTGTTATTCATCCTCTGAGGGGCGAGAATAAAACATCCTTTTTTACAGCAGGCCGGTTGGACCCAGGAACTTCAGACAACCTCAGTTATTTAGTTCATAACTTTGCATGTCTGATCATAAGACAAGTGAAAAAGCTACTTGCATGTAAAATGACATCTTTGGCAACTTAAACCCACTTGGTTACATTTCAACATGTACTTGGTATTTGAAATCTTTCAAGTTGGAGGATGTGTGTTCAAACCTTTCAAACTGTGGTTGATCAGAAAGTGAAACCAACAGGTGACCAAATAGGAGAAGTCTTGAGGCTTCTCACAAATCATCCACTAACAGGAGCCAGTCAGCTCTTAACAGCTGAGTGACTGCTACTGCTGGCAGAATATTACAAGCCGATCTCCTTTTTAGAAACAAAAAAGTGTCCTTAAACTTGCAAAAGTTACATTTGATTTGTGCGCAACGGGATAGCTTAGTTTTTCCTATGATTATAATTCATTTGACCAGCATTTCTATGATTCACTGACTTCTGAATTAGATTCCCCAGAATATCAGCCATGGATAGTCTGCTGTAACCTCCTGGAAGTCCACCAGAGCTCCAGTGACTCATTTACAGTCAGAGTTAAGCAGTCGTTTAGTCACATGCTTAACAGAAAGCACAAAGAAAGAGCTAGAAGTGTGGAAATGTGGATGTTGTTCTAATCCATGAGGGTAAACCTGCAATGCTTCATAGTATGGATTTCTGGCCGTAAGTTTCAGTTTTTCCTGCTGATAGATCATCGATGGCCACTGATACTGTACAAAAGCAGTGAGGTAACAGATAAATGACAGAAAAGTTCCTGTTTTCCCACAAACTTTGTGTCCAATCAACGCGCTCCATACTTTTTACATTAATTTCTTCCGATTTTAGGCCAGCCATGCTCTCAGTTAATACAGCAGCATTATTGTATCCTGTGGAAACTGCACTTTAATATATGTTGGGATATCTCAGGGATAAAATGTGTAGTTAAACTTATTTTCACTGATGGGAAAATTTCACTGGTAAAGCCCACTTAAGATCAAAGTGGGCTGTATGTGGCCAGTTGTATCTGTTGGTTGGTGCCAATAAACTGTTATATGAATGGATGGGTGTAGTGCAACACAAAGATTTACTGCGAGCCCAAAGCATAATGCTCCCATTGTGGCGGACCACCAGGTGGCTCCACTCACACACAAGTTGAAGGGAAGTGTGGGGGTGGAGATTTTGGCGCTGACTATATGTGAAGTTCTGTCAGTTAATAAAGTTGTTGGAGTGAGACACTGAGACCTCTCCTGTCGTTGTTACATACCTCCACACCATTAAAAATTCATGTAATTAATTTATCCCCACTGAGTGCATCCAGACCTTTGTTCACAGAGTTACGATGCGTTTCCACAGCTAATGACAGTTTCTTCCTTTTGCAGGAAGAGGAAGCCAGGACCTTATCATTTCTAAAGTTTCGGCTCTGTGTGAATCACGTTATGAAGGGAATCCTTGTATAGTCAACCAACACTCGTAAACGATTCACTCATCTCTCCGCAAAGCAAGAACGATTTTGTAAGATAAAGCTGTATTTTTTCATATAGAGACTCAACAGTATTAAACATATGCTGCTATATACTTGTACGATGTGTACAAACTATTGCTGTGATGGTCCATTGTATATGTGTAAACTATTCTCACATTTTTATTAAAGCATAAAATACCATCAAAGCCTGTTGAGTTAATTGCAGTTCATTTATTAAAACCACCTTGTCGAGCACATTGACATACAAAGGAGTTTAAGTAGAATTAAATTAAGTGATCGGCTTCATATTTCATCCTGTTGTTAACACAGACACACTAAACTATTATGGGATATGTGGATATTTTATTGCCTGTTTGGGATAGACTTCATAGATATGAGGAATGTACAGAGGGTAACAGCTTCTACTGTGAGGCATTTTTCCTCCTCCTTTTACAACATGGGTGTGTCAACTGGACTTCTTATCTCAGCTCTACTACTTTTTCCTTTAGCGTGTTTACGTTGGCACCAGAGAACTCGTGTACCTGAAAGAAGAGGGTTAAAAAAATAAATAAAAATCATTAAACATTCACATTTTTCCATTTACTGAGCAATCTTAGAATTCATTGGCAAAAAGAGGAAGACCATCAAGTAATATTAAACAATCTCCAGCCAGCTGATTTAGCAACTAGCTTTTAGCAGATTTAAATGTAAGCGTTTGTACTAACAGTTCCAAAAACAAAGAGGAGAGAGTGATTTCAGCACAAATTAAAGCGGTTTTTCTGAGCTGGTCTGTGAATTAGCCAAAAAGAAACACTTAAAAACACTCCGACTTACCTTCTGGTTATTCTTGTAAAAGTGGAAGGTGGGCATGCAGCTGATTCCACAAGATGAGCTCACATCCTGAAAGACAAAGCAAAAACATCAGATGAACCGACTGTCATAAATATTAATGTCTCCCCACATGTGGGCAGTTCAGGCCAAAACATGAAAACAAATTCATTACAGAGTGCCCGAGACTCAGCCTGCCTGCATCGGACCTCTGCTTTGCCCGTTTCACCTCTGGAAAAAAAATTACTCTTAATTTGACTTTTACAGACTTAAACTACAACAAACGGCAAGGTTTGTTTATGACTGCGGTCTGTACAAAAACAAGCAGCCATTGATGGACGGTCACCCGAGTACGCTTGGATTTGTTCCAGCAGGCAGTGACTCGTTTTACGGACCTAGAAACCTATGCTGGTTAATGATCTGGCAACATGAAAACAAAGTCACACGCAGGTGACAACATTTCTCAAGAGCCAAAGTATTTACAGCTTCACTGAAATTTAAATTGAATCCATTTCAATTACTTCCGTTTTAAAAAGGTCATCAGTACTTCTAAGCCCCGTTTCCATTCGACTCTGATCAATTGGCGTTCGTGGCACTACCTAAAGTGCGTTGTCATCATCATAGCAACGCATCAGAGCATCCCACGACATAATTAATATGCGACATGAACGCTACAAAAAAGGCAGCCATCGAAGCAAGAATATACCTGCTGCTCGGTCTGTTGCTTTTCGTCAGACTCGGGGATCACAGCGGTGTTTTTGTAGACATTTCCCTTGTTGCCGGGTTTCAAAAATAGTGGTTTTAATTTTCGTGAATGAGACACTCTCATGACTCACCAGCCAATACTACTGACCAGCCAATCGGTGACATGCAGTGTGACGACGTCATGCTAGGATCGCTTGGAACCCTGAGCGAGAAGGTACTAAAAAAGCGACCTTGTGAAAACCGTGGTGAACCGTGCAGAGTAGGTACTAATGGAAAAGGGGCTCCAGTGTATCTGCTGACTTTCCAAACATTTTAGAGGTCAGATTAATTAACAATGAGAAGTTTATTGAAGATTGACAGTTATTTCCATCTCCATATTTTTATTGTTGGAGAACCAGACTAGCATAGCATGATTTTTTTTCTTTAAGCTTTGTTGTAGCGCCTCAGATCGCCCAACTGTCTCAAACTAATTTAGCTCTGTTCAAGTCAGCTTTCTTCTGATTTGCAAACAGAAGGTTTCATTGGAAAGTAAATGGTGCTTGCTTTGGATACCCGCTTTAACATTACAGAGCCAGGAGTAGAAAAATAAAACTGGGACCTCATTTAAAACTAGCCAAAAAAAATAAAATAATGTTTTCCAGCTTAACAGGTCCGACGTGGCATCAAAGGCTCATGTTTACAGCTTCACAGATCAGACACTACATGGAGTCTGGCCAGAGGCTGGAACACCCTGCATGTGTAAACGCAGGCCTCGAGTCAGCATGCGTGTCAGAGGGTTACCGCATGTGGCTGCAATACACCACCCTACCAGAAGCTGCAATCCCTCCATAACAGCGCAGTTACTGTTTATAACAATTATCAAGCAAAGGTTGCTGTGGTTACAAAAGCCTGTGCACCGTGGTTTGTTGTTACATGAGCCAGCTGTGGTTCCTGGTGAAGGGATTGTGTATATGGCTCACAATGACTCACACCAGGTCAAAACTACAAACCTGTACAAACAAGGTGCTTCAGAACTCTCCCACTAAGATTATGTCACCACAGATTCCTGGCATAGGCTCAAATATGTCTTGGGTTTGATGTGAAAGTGGAAAAGTTCATTAAATTATTATTTAAAAACAAAAAAAAAAAACAACAAAGAGTCCAACTCAGGCTTACCTCTGCCTCATCGACGTCCACCTTCAGGAAAATCACGTTCTTGTTATCGTCATCAGCCGCCATTTGCTGCAATACAGGAAATCAGTGAGTTGACCAAAATGCATGTACAGAATGTAACTGGTGCAGGTTAAATAGAGAAATTTCTAACAATCCAAGTCTTCTGTTTCCACTTAATTGCCATGGAGTCTTCCAAGTGAAATACATTTTCCTGCTTCGCACAAATACAAGTGTTTAAGAAGCAACCAAGGGTTTGCATTTGTGTTCACACCACTTACAGCAAACAGTGGGGCAATCTGTTTGCAGGGGCCGCACCATGTGGCTGTGAAGTCCACCACCACCAGCTTGTCTCCAGCTTCCTTCAGGATGCTCTGGAACTCTTCCTAGAGAAGAAAGAAGAAACAAAAACCAGACATGCTTTTAAACATGTCACAAGTATAATTTACCAGACTACGACAGCTAAAAAGCTACATTTCAGATGTTAAAAAATAAATAAAAATGCAGTTTTGTGTAAGCGTTGCTGTCCGCTTCCCTCGTGAACACTGCCTGATGCCGTTTTAACACACGGGATCCAGATTTCAGCACAACACTTTCAGTTTGGTAAATTTAGACTTCAGTATGCTGAAACATGACCACATTACTTGAGGGTTTAAACCAGAAGCAAATGATACACATCAGGGTTTTTTTGGCCTTTTGTTTAGTGCCTTTGCGTGCAAGACTGATCATTACAGAAATGAATTTCCTGTTATTCCATACACTTGAATATATTTTATGCCGCGGCAAATGAAACCCTGACGACTGTATAAAATACAAAGGTAGAGTGTTAAATAAAAAGTGGGGATTCTCGTCTCTCATGCTTCACTTTCCAACTCTTTATCAACCAGTATAGCAGTGCTGTTTTCCGAGGCTTCCTCACATTTCTCTGTAAGCTTCAGAGTTTATTTATGGCGTTTTCACCATAAAAAAAACAAACAAAATAAAAAAAATAAAAACCCATGATGCATTCGTGATTTGAAGCCATAAAAACACTTGTCCTGATACTTTACAACTCGCTCTCCGTTCACTTCCGAAGCAATCATGGCACCAACAGCGGCTATAGACACTAAAGTGCAATGTCCTGGCTGAGAGAAAAGCAAACAGCCGTCCACACCTACCCATCCTGCAGCACCCAGGGAACACGCGTGGCCTGCTGTCCAGCACTTTGATAGCTCCGAGCTGTTACGTGTGCTAGCAGCCCTTAGCATCTTATCCCCGGACTATCTACCCATCAATGCGGCGTAGTTCACGCTAGAGCAGCGTGGTTTAAGTCAGAATCGACTCAGGTGGCCGACAGTTTAGTTTACTTTCCCCTAGTTTTGCTAGCGCTGAGTGCGCGTCTCGCTACAAGATGGAAGGGTGCGGCAGACTCATAGTGAAGGTTAGCTGCATCCATTTACAGTTATTCTAGCGATCAGAGAAGCAACTATACACGCTTACTCTAGATGTGTCACACACACAGAGTGGTTTAATCCAAAACGATGCTTAACTTTGTAAGATAACGCCACAAAATTCCACAAGATGGGCTCAGCTAACATGGAGAATGAATCACGAGAGGGAAACATGCGCGCGGCTCCGGCAAAAACAGCACGGAGCGTGAAAAGACAGTAAAAACAGCATTTCAAAAAGGGAAAGAAAGTGCAGAAAGCAGCGTAAACAAACTTACCAGGTTTTTCACTTCGCGAACCATACTAACGTCCGATGAACAAGCCTCAGAGAACACAACTAGCTACCAAGTTTCCGAATGCCCTATTTTAAGCAGACACGCCGCGCTTTTAATGACAGGCGCGTACAGTTAGCCGTCAAAAGGCCGGTCAAACGGAAGTCACTGTACAGTGATTTACAAAATAAGAGCCAATCAAGGTTTCGGTCAAGGTTTGAGCGACTAAAGCGTTGGCTTTGCCGTGTCTGTAAAACGCCTTAAAATATCATTTAATTCGTCACAGAATTTATCTTAATATATAGTTTGTTTTTGTGTCGTATCGAGTATTCAAACCGCTTTCCCCCCAATGAATACGTTTATTTTGAAAGGAACGGTTTTACCTAAAAGGGTGTGAGAGAGCCGCCATTCGACATTTATCTTCTTTACATGTGTCACAAATGTTGTTTCTTCATTTTTTCTAAAAGATGAATCAGACCGTATACACAACAAAAACGTCGTGTTTACAGTTTTGTATGTTTGTATTTAGACAATTATTGATAGGCTACTTCTAAAAAAAAGTTTTAAATTTAATATAGGATTTTTTTTATTATATGTGATTTATACAAGCATTATTAGATTTATTTATAGAGCTTGGTAACTGTTATATGTTTAAATATTTGTAGTACTTGAATTTTGCGGTTTCACTGTAATAACGAAGGTTGACCAAAGAAAGTCAGGATGACTTGACAAATTCCAGCTTTACCGTAAGTGAGTGAGTATGCGTAGCTCAAGTTCACTGCCGGGAGGTAACGCCCCGTACATGATCTTTCGTCATTACGTCACCACGTCACAACAATAGAGTTGGGGGGTTTTTTCCCTGGATGTATCGAGCTGACCTATGAGTGTTATTTATATATGTGCGTGCAGAAAGGCAGAGCAAAAGCACGTTGGCTTTACAACTACATTTACATTTCTATTTTTTCCCTCAATCCAGGCACCAAATGTTAAGTAGCAACAGTGAGTCTTATGCACTTTGGTATGGAAATATAAACATTTGCATTCCTCGGTGATTTCCCATTAAACTCTTTCCAGATGACCTCACAGGTGAGGAGCTTTCAGCTCCACAAGTAACTTCTTGCGAGACTTCTCATAACTTACCATTTACTTGAGACACGCACACACTAACCGTCTGAATAAATACATTAACCTGTAATGATGATAATATCAGGATGTGAGGCAAATAACATGGTTTATTTTGCATCAAAATTTCTCTATATTCAGAAAATATTTGGTGGTGCTAACAGTTTTTTTGTGTATTCATTTAATGTGTTTTATCACATCTGTATAATTTCTGTGACTGGTGTATGGTACTGTAAAGTACTGCTTCTCTTCAGAGTGCCATTACTCATTCGTGTTTTGGCAGTTGCCTATATAGGCCTAGGACCCCCAGATGCATAGAAAACTCTTAGCCCTGTAGGTGCACAGAGTCCTGGTACTATAAATGACTATAACAGATTTACAGCAGCATGTGTAACCATGGAGCTCACCCTCAACACAACCTTATGAAATTCTAATGGCCATCTAAAAATACAGCCTGTTTCCTGATCAAACAGGAGTAATTGCAGTCTAAAACATGAGCACATGGAATGATGAATGAATGCAGCAGCTACAGAGCTCCACGTCTTACCCTGGGATTTGCTTACGTGACAGAATAAGAATCCTGTGCACAGAGCCATCAACTCTTTCTCTCTTCATCAGTGAAACTGCCCTCTGCGACGCACTTTCTCCTGGACGATGAGGATGGCAGCACTGTGCAAATCACCAAAACCTAACAAGTTAAACAACCACTGCTGGTGTTTCAGGGTGCATTTATCATTTGTTGTTATCAGTCTCAGTCAATTGCTATAAAAACAGACTAAACCACAGTGGCTTATTGTGAATATAACAATTTATTACTAAATCTGTCATTCATATGTAAGGTTGTTTAAAATTATATCAGTTATTAGTAATGCTGGCTCTCTTGCATTGAACTCTTGTTTCTCCTCAGACTGCGACGACGGCCTTGCCGATGTTTTCTCCCCGCATCATCCCCATAAAAGCAGCCGGCATGTTTTCAAAGCCTTTTGTGACGTGCTCCCGACACTGCAGTTTGCCCTGTGCACACACATTAAACGGATCAGAAATAAGTGTATATGTTTACTTAAAGGAAATCATCCAGCATTATAAAAACTAAATAACTAACCTCTTTCACCCATGCCAAGAGTCTCCTAAGGGTTTCAGGGTGCTTGTGCTGCCACCTGGTTATCAAGAAGCCCTCCATCTTCAGTTCCTTGATGATCATAATGACATAGGGGTACAGCCCTAAAAGAAAGATAGTTCAAAATAAAAATATGACTTTAACATAAACTCCAAGGAAACAACAATTTATGTCTTTGACTGTCTTGTGGCACCACAGCTATTAGGGATCTTCAGCAGTGCAGCAGCTCCCTCTAGTGGAAAAAGGCATTAATACCTGAGACATTGCTGTGAGTGTGTTGACTGAATTTCACTAATATGGAAAGGTTGTTAAAACTTGAAGGATTTCCTCTTGCAGTACTACTTTAAATGTATATTCCTTGTGCTGTGGTGCAGATCCTGTCTGAAGGTAAAGTCAGAAAACCTTCAAGAGTTTTGAAAATAAAAAGTAAATTAGGGCAGTAACACACCTGTCTGGGGTTCACTGTCATTGTAGGTGGAGATACTTCCACACACAGCTATTCTTCCACAGTTCTTCATCTGCTGCAAGACAATGAATGAAGAAGGGCCTCCCACCTAAAAATCAAAGATCGAGAGAAGAGCTCAGCAGTGATTAAATATTACATGCAAGCTTGAAACTGCACCACCACTGCTCACGTTCTCAAAGAAGCAATCGTATCCTTCAGGTGAAGCCTTTCTCAGAGCCTCCTCCAGGGAACCCACAGTTTTGTAGTTGAAGGCCTCATCAAATCCCAGCTCTTTGAGAAAAACCACTTTGGCATCAGAGCCTGCTGAGCCCACCACCTTACAGCCCTTGATCTTGGCGATCTGTCCCACCACGGAGCCCACCGCTCCAGCTGCAGCGTTCACCAGCAGGGTCTCACCTTTCTGGAGTCCCAACACTTCTTCTATCCCATAAACAGCCGTCAGTCTGCAGAGAGACAGAAACAGTAAATCCAGCTGTTTTGTTTCATTTTGGACTTAAAACTCTTTGGGCTTCATATAAACTCTAATTACTTTTTTTTTTTTTAAAAAGGTAATTAATTAGTGCATGTATAATGACTTCAGCTCACAAGCAAGAGAAAACACCTGGAAATTCCTACTTTTTCTTAAAAGGCTATTTCTGCTTATTACTAACTCTGTTGTCTATTAGCACTTTTAGCTGTGAACTAAGAGCAAATGAACTTTAAAATGCTAAATTCATATGATCCATGCAGATGACTTAAATCTGTCTTACCCGGGCATCCCGATGGCACCCAGAGCCAGAGACAGGGACACATCTTTAGGCCACTCAGGCAGGATGGGAGTGAGGCCGGTCCCATCACTGAGCGTGTGGGTTCTCCACCCACTGTTACTCACAACGTGGCTTCCCACAGGAAATCCTGGATGTTTACTCTGGATCACTCTAAAGGAAAGAAAATAAAAGCATCTGTCAACCAAGTGATTGGTCAGCTGTGGTCACCTCCGTCTGAGCTAAACCGTCTGAGATTCACTGACACTAGAGTATAGACAGTATGACTCTATACACATAGTGTTTATACTGTCTGGGTGTAAGAAACAGTTTATACCCAAAAGACAGTAACAGGAACATTTTTTAATATCTATAGATCTTTTATTATAAGATATCTGTCAAGTCTGTCTATCATAGCCTCTAAAAAGAGATGTAAATTCCAGGTCTGAAAATAAAGCCAGTGCCTTAATGTTGTATTCTTTTTCCTGGCCAATAGAGGGCAGCCTTGTTTTTGGAAATAGCCGGCCCACAGCAGTGATTCCCAAAGTGTGGACCAAGCACCCCTGGTGGACTGTGAAGGTACTGCAGTCGGACTTATTGCGTTTGTCTTGAAGTTCGTCCCAGTGGCAGGTACATTGAGTACAAAGCAATAATTTGGCAAGTGTTGCTAAAGAAGGTCATCAGGTTAAAGTGCAATTTACTCAACAGCCACACTAAAATGAATCTGAGCACTTATCTAAATTCACCTTAGGTTCAATCATCAAAAACTGTAAGCAAATATTATTGAAGATGGATGGCAGCCTCGGTAATGTGCTCTGTTGTAGTTCCTTTGTTTTCGTTAGTCCACTGTTTTTGACTGACTGCTTTAATCAGTGTAGAACTGCAAATCAGTTCACCCACATCAATTTTCCAGCATTTTGCTCAGAGTTTTTCTGAACTCTTTACCCGATCTATGCTTCTCCACTGAATCTATGTAGAGCCTTACAACATAGCCTCTACATAGCTTTGGTAATAAACAGCAGATGATCGCCGTTTCATTTTTCAGTACACATCAGAATCACATCACAACAGATAAAAGGAGTTTCCGACCGTTAGTGTGTGGGTGATCGTGGCAAGAGTTGGCAGTTCGCCTTGTAATCGGAAGGTTGCTGGTTTGAGCCCCGGCTTGGACAGTCTCGGTCGTTGTGTCCTTGGGCAAGACACTTCACCCGTTGCCTACTGGTGGTGGTCAGAGGGCCCGGTGGCGCCAGTGTCCGGCAGCCTCGCCTCTGTCAGTGCGCCCCAGGGTGGCTGTGGCTACAATGTAGCTTGCCATCACCAATGTGTGGATGACTGAATGTAGTGTAAAGTGCTTTGGGGTCCTTAGGGACTAAGCGCTATACAAATACAGGCCATTTTACCATTTGTGTTTCGTACTTGGCTACTTGACTTCCAATCATCACATCTCCCTCCTTCATGCTGATTTTGCTGAACAACCTGTTGAGACCAGCAATGTGTTATAGAGGATATGTTTTAGCTTTTGAGAACAACAAAGTATTTTTATCAGAAGTCTTAATTATAATGAAAATAACTGAAATAAGTTGTTCTGTTCTCTTCCCACCTCATGTATGGGTCAACACTGAGAAACACCGCTTCCAGTAGCACCTCTGCAAACAGAAGCGCACACATTTAAAGCG